GCCGCAGGCGCTCTTTGGCGGCTTCGCAGCCTCGCAGCCTTGCCGCTCTCCGAGTCCGGCCGGCAGCCGGGCAGGGGCCAGCCAGGCAGTGGGCGCGGCCTCTCTTTCCCGAGAGATCGAGGGAGAGAGTCGAGCTGTCCCGGCGTGTGGGGGTAGGCGTGGAGCCAGGAGACGGTTGCGGGCGCCGGGGCGGGGGCAGGCGGCAGCGTCGACTCGCGCGCCACTCAGCGCGGCTTCGCGGCGCACGCGTCGTCGCTGGGGTCCGCCCCGCCGGCAAACTCGCACCACGACCTCGACCTCGACGACGACGACATCTGAGCTGTTTGTCTGCATCGTCCGGCGCCCGGGTCACAAACGGCGGCAGTTGCCACACGCGGCGGGTACACCGCTCTACGTCAATACACACGAGCTGAAGCTGTACGTACGAGGAGGTACGTGGTAGTAGTAAAGCCGTACGTGTCCGCCCCGGGGATGGGGTGACGAGAGTGTTTTCCGCGTGAGAGTGCGTCGAGACCTCAGACCATGACCAACAGCTGTGCTCCTGTGCTCTTCTGACTTATCAATGGCAGATTTGGGTATTTTGGTGTACTTTTGGTGTAGAGGGAGCGGACCCTGAGTTGAGGAAATCGGGGGACGCGACCCACTTCGCCACAGACGGTCCCGCGCCTCGCCGCTATGACGGGTAGACGACCGCGGCTCGTGTGCGTCTACCCGTCTTTGTCCGGAGTGAATACTCCAACGCGCTCGTCGGTGACGGCGTCCCCCGATTTCGCCGCGCTCGGCGAACCTCGACAGCGCTTTCGGTGGCATGCAGCTCTTTGCGCCTGAAGCCTGGAGAGCAGCTCCTCTGCTGCTCATACGCTCTGCACAGTTGGCACAGCCTACTGTGCGGCTGCCACAGCTGTGACAGCGATGGGCTCGCCCTCACTGGCCCTCAGTCACTCGTGCTGCGGCTTGTGTGAGCGACACTGCTCGGCGACTGCCGGCACACTGTGAGACCATGGGTGTGAGGTAAAACCACGCTACCAGCGCTTGGTCACATCAGCCCTGAGGTCATATCCTTCTCCTCTGTTGATGGTAACACTTGTCTACTCGCTGGAGCCGAGCAGGAGGGCTTGGCGCACAACCCCTGTTCAACTCAGGGTCCGCACCCCGGCTCTAGTGCTAGTGGCTAGTGAAACACCACCCCCGCCTCAACCCTCTCAGGCACCAGCACCGGCTTCGACAGCCTGGTCGCGACTACTGTGGTGCCACAGACGACGCACCAAACACACCGAACCACCCCACCCCAGGTGTGAGGAGACGCCTGCCTCGCCCTGGTGTCGGGGAGGAGAGGCGCCATCACCTCTGTGAGGTGGGAACACAGAAAAGCGCCGGGCTGCCCGGGCGAGGATCAGAGAAGGAGCCACCCTGTTAGGGGCGTCGGCTCTCCCTTGATGAGCCCGGGCAGCCACGGCGCGGTGGGGCGCCTCACCGTCCGCCCGAGCCCCGCCCGCGGCCGCGTGAGTGTCACGCGGAGCGAGCGAGGCAGGTCGGTGGGGCTAGGTCCCGCGGGCGTCAGTTGCCCTTCTTGACCTTCGGCTCCCCAGCGCTGAAGACGGGGCAGTCAGGCCCCTTGACGTGCCCCTCCTCGCCGCACCACCAGCAAGTCTTGGGGCGCCGGACTTGCCCGACCGCTTCGCCTCATCGGCCGTCCGCTGGGCCTCCGCCGATGCCGCCTCCGCCTTGGTCACGCGCTTGGCGAGCTCGGCCAGCTCCTTCTCGAACGACTCGACTGACCTCTCATGCTCGCGGTAGACGTCGTCGCG